CCGCGACATGTTTTAATGCCCTCCCCATTATCTTTTTCTGGGCAATTTTTTGTGCAATGTGCTTGTGAAATTCCAGCTGTAAATTTGTAGAAAAAGTATGTTAATAATACATTTACATTGTAGACGAGTGACAAAACAAAAATTTTCATTAAATACATTTAACGAGACTATTCTAATTTCATGAACTATGGATTATAATCTGTTGATATTAAATTTAATTCTAATATTCTAATAGATAATACGTAATTCTGCCTACGATTTATAATGTAATCCTTATAACTCACAATGTTGGTACAAATATTACAGACAGAGAACTATAATAAATTAATTAAATTTATGGGATACAATCCTTTGTCAGAACACCTATATACAACACATTCAAAACTAAAAATTATAGATTTGAACATATTATGTAGATTTGGTGATACCACTTATACACATCTATTACAAATGGTGATAAAAACTATTCTAATTTTTGAATGGTATTAGGCTCTATATAAAAAATATTTGAAAACATGTTTTTTTAATGCGTTCTTTAGGCATTATATAATTATTGCATGATACAAACAGTAAGAACAAAATTAGTTAATACTATATACGATTCTAACCTATATGTTTATTCTATGATATTAATACCTTAATACCAAAGGTAATTTAAATACTTACTTCTGCCAGCAGGTGGTTGATGCACGTCACTTAACTATTTTAACAAGCTTTAAATTTCATTTTCCACTTTTCAAATTAATAAAAACGTCATTGAGTCACACACTTATAAAACAAAGAAACACAGAAAATGGAGATACGGGTCATGTCGTCAATATGTCATACTGCGCATGCACCATGCACTGTGCAATGCCAAGAACCATCCCAGGATGGGATCACTCCAAAATTTGCCTAGGATATCCCAAAATTGGAGATTGTTCGGCTTTTAATATCTTCATAGGATATTTCCAGGACATCCTGTTTGGATTTACCTGGGATATCCCCAACTAGGATATTGATAGGATCTACTTGTCTTATTGAATATATCATCAGGATATCCTGAGGAGTGAGATCCCCGATTAGGATATATAGGACTAAATGAGGATATCCCAGGGACGTCATGTGCTGTGTGGGTGTGTATTTAATTCTGTTTTGATAAAATTTATGAGTGTATTGTGCTAGTGAGAAAACACCTTTATTGGTGAGTACTGTTTATTATTTATTCGCTGTCTGCCTGCTCATTCGTTAAGCGTTTTTACATTTTGGGGTCTGCTTGACCATTTTTTTATTTTCATTGCGATTTGTTAAGTTCATAAAAAAAGAACATTGTGCAAAAATATTCTAACAATGACGGGACGTTCAAGCCGTAGCCGAGTACGTAAACAGGATAGCAGACATCGCCGACGGCTCGCTTCCAGGCGTGATCGAAGCCGTAGCCAAAATAATCGAAGTGTTAGTCCGCATTATACACAAATTTTGGAACGTCGACTTAACGCATTAGAAACTTCGGTTCGAGCTACCCATTCTAGCCGAGATACATCAAGTGATTTACGAGCTGCACTTCAAACTACGGCGGCACGTTCTCGGAGTCCACACGACACAAATTTAATAAATAAACAAAGATATGTAGGGCGGATGGAATTAATACCCGAATTTGATGGCTCTTCCAACAGCTTGACAATTCGTCAGTGGTTGGCGAAAATCGATACGATCGGAGAGATTTATAGTTGGGATGATCGCGCGAAAATATTTGCAATGATAGGGCGTCTTACCGGAAATGCAAAAGCTTGGTACGACTGCAGTCATTTAAAAAAATGTCCAAAATTACGAACTTGCCTATGTACATAGTTTTAAAAACATATAAATTTGTATTCTGTTTTATTTTATTTGAGCCTGCAAAATATTAATAGGTTATACATATACTTACGTTATTTATTGAAATTAATAAATAGTAAAATAATATGTTAGATATAAGGAGCCTATCGATAGAGGACTCATAGAAGAAAATAGTAGAAAAGTAAACATTTAGAAATTGAAGTGAACTCACAATCAGTGAAAATAGATTTAATATCTTATGTGTATATAATCGGCTATATTACAGAGCATGCCGTGACAATCTTTTAAATTTGAATGCAACCGCTCCTAATTATGGAACATGCGCAAAACACACTGGAAAACATCCTTTTGTAGTTTGCACCGTAACTTTTATTATTTTTTCCAGACATACCGAACGCTTTATCTTCGGGATAAACTGACAAAATGAATGTATGTCTCTCATGCCCTCATAAATATCAATGTCCGTGTCTTGTAAATTGAATTGTCCGCATCCGTATACAACAATTTAGCGTCATTACAGAAATTTAATTTGATATAGCCATAATAAAAATTATATAGTATAATTTTAAAATACTGAATCCAACAACAAGAAATGGTAATGCTAAATGTCCCTGTTGTTGTTTCTTTAACCTCATTGGTCGTTACTAGTTTGAATATTAGTAGATGTTTTTTTTTTAAAAAAAAACTGGTTTTGATAGTTATAAAAAATAGTTCACATTTCAAAGGCATGGCTCCTTTTTACTGTATTGGTTGTTTTAAATGTTAAAAATTGACTTAAAAATTGTTTTTTATAAAAGAATGTTTGACTATAGTTACAATTATTTTTAATCTAGTGAAGCTCATAAAATTTTAACAATGTTCTTGTATACTTCGTTTTTGATGGTTTTTATGTTATAATCTCACGTTATATAACGTGTATATGTAATATGTATATAATAAGCTTTTACAACTTATTTTTCTAAGCATTTTTGTCATTTCTTATAGATGTCTTGAGAAAGGAAATAAACATTTCCGAAAGCTTGACAACAACACAGAGTGTTCTTATTACATTAGCCCTTAGTATATATATATATACCAAAAAAAAATTATATATATTGGGGATGTCGTCAATTGGTGGTTGAAAGAAAACTCTTATTTAACTTAAACCAAGCTTTCGACTGAGTCGAGAGTCGAGACTAGACAGCTATTCAGAACAATGAAAATAAAAATAAAAATTTTATACTATCCATTAAGTTTTAAGATGACAACTGTTGAACTCTGTCAACTGAACCAGTAACCTTGAAAAAGATAATAAATAATTATCGAAAGCTTGGTTTAAGTTAAATAAGAGTTTTCTTTCAACCACCAATTGACGACATCCCCAATATATAATTTTTTTTTGGTCTCTAACTTAATCGTCAAGATTAACCGTATCATTTATATATTTTGTTATGATTGTATGTATGTATGGTTTTATATGTTAGCGCCAAATTAAATTTTATTAGTTTTGATATTAATTTTGATTAGATTGGTGTATTGTGTTTTGTCTATCTTTGCCCTATCTAGCTCTAGACTCTATCTCCGTAGTCGGTTCTATGTTCTATCAAGAAACCACACCAAGCACAGCTACAAAAACAAAAGGTTTAGTAATAAATGTATTTATTATAAATTTTTT